TGGATTGCTAGCTACTGGGGGGGGGGGAACGTGTAGATCTGCCCTCGCAGAGGAGGGAGAGCTTGTGCCTGAATAAAACTTGGTCTTAAAGGTGCCACTGGACTGTTTTGGGCTGGGGGGAGCTCTGCAACTTACCTGGCTGCTTCTTGCTCTGACCGAGGGCTGCTGGGAGCAGGGGGCGGGGCTTGTTGCATGTGCCCGCCCCCTGGGCTCTTTACTGCCGGAGCTCTGCTCCTGTGCGCTCCTACAGGAAATGACCCCTGCCAAGTGCACAGCTTGGGGAGGGACGCGCATGGAGTGTGGGGGGGAGGTAGGGGACACCCGCCTAGCCATTCAGATTAGCCGAATCAACCCTGGCGATCCATGGGGTGACAGATGTTGCAGCCAGATCGCCCTCCCATGTGGGTCAACTTCAGCTAGAAGAAGAAAAAGAGTATTGCCACTGAGCCCAGATCAAGGCTGACCCAGGTTGCCACAAGAGATTTGGAGATGGATTGATTCCAGACAGGGAAGGCAGGATGAGACCTAGTAAGGCAGGCCTTCCCATTCTAGGGCTTCCACGGGGACACGGGTGCTGGGGAACAGGTGTTTGGGGTGTCGCAACCCGCTGACAAGGCTGTTGGCATCATTTGGAAGCTGATGGCTGTCAGGGCTGTTCTATGAAAGGTGATCTTGGAAAGGTAAGAAACTCTGTTGTGATTCATGTTGACCAATCCAAACCATGGAGAAAATTTGGAGCTGGATATACAGTTGCCAGCTCTGGACTGGGAAATACCTGGAGATTTTGGAGATGGAGAGATTGGATTTATACCCCATGGCCCTTCACTACCCGAAGGAGTCTCACAGCCGCTTACAATCTCCTTTCCTTTCCCCTCCCCACAACAGGCTCCCTGTGAGGTAGGTGGGGCTGAGAGAGAGAGCTCTTTCGAGGACTGCCCTTGAGAGAACAGCTCTGGGAGAACTTGTGACTGACCCAAGGTCACACCAGCAGCTGCATGTGGAGGAGAGCACTGAGGTCAGGGTTGCAAAATCGTTTGGCCCTCCCTGGACTGAAAGATGCCAGACTGGCCTCTACCAGGGCAAGGGCCTTCTCAGTGGTGGCTCCACACTGGTGGAACGAACTCCCGGAGGACATCAGGGCCCTGCGGGACCTCTGACAGTTCTGCAGGGCTTGTAAAACAGAGCTCTTCCACCAGGCCTTCGACTAGGAGCCACCACTAATAACATCAATTACATCAGCAACATCAACCAATACTAATTGAGGTGGATAATACTAACTAACTATGCTGGACGCCGACGGGGCCCATTTTTTGAGAACATCTATCATGTCCCCCGAGTTGCTATTGTCACCAGCACTTTATTTCTATTTAATTCTATTTTATTGTGAGCTATGACTTGTTATGTTTGTGTTTTAATGTTTTTATTCCTTATTGTAAGTCGCCCTGAGCCTGCCTGTGGCAGGGAGGGCGGGATTAAAAAAATGAATAAATAAATAAATAATAAAATGGTGATACCAGCAACCCAGGTCAGATCACCCTGCAGGCGGGTAAGGCCTTGCATGGAGACCTGGCTGCCTGGGACGCTCCTCTCCTTCCGCAAATAGTGAATCAAGGCAACTGTGCATGGAAGTCCCAACTCTGGGGAGACAAAGGCAGAGCCAAATCCCTACTTAGAAATGTTTGGGGGGGGACAGTCTCCACGTTCTTGGCAATCTTATAATTCCCAGGCTTTCCAGGTTTTATGTGGAGTTACTGAAAAGTTTATTTTATAAATGATTGTTGTGTGTGAACTGAGTGCGTAGAATCTCAGCCACATTGGGCAGACTGGCACGCTTTGCTCTGGCCAAGTGCTGCCCGCAGGACCAAATAAGGACAGCTACGAACATAAGAGGACATAAGAGAAGCCAATGTTGGATCAGGCCAATGGCCCATCCAGTCCAACACTCTGTGTCACACAGTGGCCAAAAATACCAGGTGCCATCAGGAGGTCCAGCAGTGGGGCCAGGACACCAGAAGCC